TACTACAATTTTTTCCCCCTCTCCAGAAAGTATATACTGATTATAAGGGTAATTTTTATGAACATCATAATTAGCCATGAAAATTTGGTGACATCATATATTACAATATATGTAAGAAATTTCAACATTTAAGGTGCAGAGATATTTGATGTGTTGCATGAGCAACGGAGACCAGTCTCCATAGGAGCCACAAGGGAAGCCCAGCTCCGCTGCAGCCAGCCCGGCGCGGGGCCCGGAGGCCTCTCGCTCATCGCAGCCCCGCGAACAGGCACGAGGCACCGAGCGGCTCAGCCCAACGCTGCGCTTCTTCCCAGCAAAGCCCCTTCCTTCCTTCCTTGTCAGGAACGCGTGTGCACACACATAAAGTGCAATACATGGGGTGCATCCACAATAAATCATCAGTGCTCAATTACAGGTTAATATTTCACTAAATCCCTCTAGACTGTTTTTCACTGCTGGAGAAACTGCACGTAATCTTCTTTTTTCAGTACTAATTAAAATATAATCTGTTATGTAAAGCAAAAAAACTCACCATTCTAGTAGCTATAAAATACATTTAGTTTCATAAAGCCCAGAAGATTGGTATTGTCACAGTGTTACTCAAATTAAATGAATACTTCCAGATTAATGAAAATACTTTGCATGCACTTGAACATAAATCACGTACAGGTAACCAGGTACACATGTTTAATTCCAGCTGGCAGGAGCTACTACCCTCTTGCTGTTATTGTGGTAGTTGTGTTTTTTCCCTGACATCCGGATGAAGCTGACCCGTGCAGAAGTGACTAAACACGGCCCTCCCAGCGGCCTGCACGGATGATGGGAGCATGCTGACCAGCCAGCACTTCAAGGGTCGAAATATTTTTAACTATTTACTGCGCTGCCAACTGTACTTGCACTCTTTAAATGTCTATTGTGCCCCTTACTTCTTTTTGCCTTCCTTTGCTAAGGTGCCCGTGAGCAGCCTCTGAGCACAGTATTTCACAACTACATTAACAGTAGGAGCTGGCTGGCTCCCCGCAGCGCTGCGTTTGGGCACGTCCAGAGACACGGGGAGGGCTGGCTGTGCGAGCACGACCCCGCCGGCACCGCGAGGGGAGGCGGCCGGAGCAACGCGCGGCTCCGGGACGCGGCTCCGGCGGGGACGACTCCTCTCCCACCCACAGGCCCAGCAGCCCAGAACCGTGTCCCCATCAGCTGCCCGGTCGGGTTTACGGTCAGGTGCCATGGGGAGCAGGAGGCTGAACCTCCTGCCGGCTTCTTTCCAGGGAAACGTGCACGGGAGGGAGCAAGAAGTGAGAAGATACAGCTGGAACCTCATCCTGGTCTTCCGAGCTACCAATGACCTTGCAGTGTATAATACATGTTAAATAATTATGTACAGCACTGACATTATCCTGAGTCATTTCAGTCTGCTAAGAGGTTTGAAAGTGGATGGGACATCATTAAAGAGCTGAGCGGATTATCCATTTATAAAAAATTAAAAGAGGAAATTAGTTTATTTGGAGATTACTTGCCTGTTAAAATTAAGACATACAGGAGCCCTGAGATACCTCTCACCTACAGCTTGCTTCTCTCTATTCCTCAGACTTGCTGCTGTCCTCATCCTTCACTCCTCGTAGGGGAGCCAATCTATCACCTACTCTTGCATGCTGCTTTTACAGTTCCGCTGTAAAACAGGTGGGCAACAGAATAACAAACCTAAACCAAAAATACGTTCCCTAATGGCTGGCTCTTGTCCTGCTGCATCAGGAGGAGTTTTTCCTTCTATGCCACTATATGGAGGACTGTGCAGAAATATCTGCTAGCAGGTAAAGTGATTACTTCTAAGTGGTTCTTCTTTGAAATAAATCATCTTGTATCTGCTAAACATAAGGAAAATGTCTAGAAGGGTTTACAGGATATTAACTACAAAAGAATGCTTTTGAGGAGTTTATGTCATGCAACAAAAATGCTAAAGACCTGGCTCAGGTCAGTCGAACCAGGCACTGTGCTAATTCCAGGCTTAGAAGAACAAAATAACATTAAGGAGTGTTACTTTCCAGCTACTGATGGGCAGAAAAACAAGGCACCCTCTCTTATGCGGCTCATACAACCATGGCGAGCGCTGAGGCAGCTGCGGTCACTGCAGCAGGCGGCCGAGGACAGGACAGGAGCGCTCTCCTGCCTGCTCAGAGCTGGGGCACACGTGGCCAGGGAAGGGGCCGGGGGCGCTCCTGGGCTGGGCCCTGTCCCCTACGCGGCCTCGTGTACAGCCTGACGGGCACGGCCTGCTGGGCCCAGCCATGGGCACAGCCTGAGGGACACAGCCTGCCGCCGCCGGCCTCGTGTACAGCCTGATGGGCACAGCCTGAGGGGCACAGCCTGACGGGCCCAGCCATGGGCACAGCCTGACGGGCACGGCCTGCCGGGGCCAGCCTCGTGCACATCCTGATGGGCACAGCCTGACGGGCACAGCCTGCCGGGGCCGGCCCCATGCACAGCCTCATGGGCACCGCCTGACGGGCACAGCCTGACGGGCACGGCCTGCTGGGCACAGCCCGCCGAGCTGCGCTGCAGGGTTGACGCTGCGTGACACCGTCCCCTCGGCAGTGCTACCACCCCCGCCGGCTCTACCACAGTCACGCAGCCACCTGGGCAACGCGCTGCCTCGCCGGCATCATTTCAGTGAAGCTCTATCTTATTATACTTATATTCCAGCTCAAACAGCACTCTAAGCCAGTTGAAGCCAAAGCCCTCACACCTGAGACAGTTCCTGTTGCCACAGAGGCACCAAGCATGGGCGGTAGCCGTGCTCTGGCACATCGGTGCACAAGAGGTACCTGTGCCGTGCTGGTACCTGACTCCGGTGCTACCTGTGCTCTGGCTCGATGCACTACGAGCAGTACCACCCACCGAGCTGACGGCGATTTGCAGATCTGGTTTGTGGGCAGGTCGGTCAGGAGCAATACCACATCCCTGATTTCAACAGCTTGAGCTGGACCTCAAAACAGTGTCTGAGCTCCCAAATGTTTTTATCGGCGCCCTCAAACCCCTACCATTTAACCTGCAAGCATGGGGAGATCAAAGCACTGGCTTTGATACAAAGCAAGGCTTACCTCCTTAGGAAGAGAAAATCTGGGCAAAGGGGAAAAATAGCAAGTTTTTTACATCTTATACTTCAATGTCACCTTCTTTTTTTTCTCTAGACCCTCTCAGGACAGACAGACATTGTACCTGGCTAGGAAATACCCATCCTCCTGCTTCCTGAGTGCTCAGTGTCCCTGTGATTCCTCTCCCAGGCTGCCAGTCTTGCCCAGCATCAAGTTTCCAACCCTCTCTGCCCTCGGTGCCCTCGTACTGAGCTCTTGTCAGTCCCACCAGAACATCGCATCAGCTGCTTTGGGAGAGCACACACTTTTACGGCTCGAAGCTTTGCTGACGTCTTTGCGGCTGCTTTGACACTCCTCACCTCAGCTGCTGCTCTGCCTTGCTCGGCTCTCCCAGCAGCTCTCGGAGCAATGTGAGGAAGCACAAGTGCCTCATACTCGAACATGGGTGTTTTCAGTCTCTCGCCCAGCCCCCCGAGAGCGCATGCACGTTGAAGGACAACGAGCGAAGAGTTAACCAAGGACCCGCGCCCCAGGGCCCCCGCCGAGACGCCGGGGTTACCCAGCGCTACGGCTGCCTTGCGCAGCGCCGTCACCCGTGCGCGGCTCCAGCTACTGCAGTGGGGCCGTTCAGAAAGGGAACCGGGGTCAGACACAGCAGCGTCTCTAAGAACTAAGAATATAATTATGTTTTATTTTTAAGTCTATGAAGTACTTCATTAATGAAGTATGGAAGACTTATGGCCCCTGAAAACATGTACTTGAAGAGTTTAATTAGACTCGCAAATTTACACATGCTAATATACATAACAAAATAACTTCATTCAAGTGTGAATGTTTTCTTTCTCTACACTTCCATTATCTCTTTTGTACATGTGGCATTGAGCCATAAGAAAGCAACCAAACCCAGAAATTACTCCATATTTACAAATGCTCTAAATTATGTTTTCCATTTTTTCCATGCTGAATGATAGTACTTGATACAACTGTATTATATCTAATGCATTGTACAGTGGTAACTACATATTTCAAAAAATGCACTGACCCTTAGATTCTTTGTAGGATAGGACAACTCCGGTCTCCTCTGTACATAAAATTTATATGTGAAAATATATCCCTATATGTACACATCAACATGGAGTTTTCTATAACCCGAAATGCAGGTACAACTGTTTCATCAGAAAAGAAATTAGCATGAAGATTTCCAGATTCAATAAAGCATTTAATATCTTTGAGACAAATGACCACCTAAACACATACAGTATATAAAAGTTTGCAAAGGAAATATCAATGATAATCATCATCAGTATAATACTTGCAGTTAAAAATAATAATTTGCTATAGCTATTGCTGCTGTATGTTAAATATATTAGGTATGTTTTACAATATTTAAAATATGCTAACAACACACATATAACAAGATACTCCCTAAAACAAATTTAACAAAGTAAGTACTTCAAAAGAACTGAATAAAACTAGATAATGATTAAAAAAAATACTGTAAAGATTATTTGATTTAATTAGTACTGTTACTTGACACAAATATTTTTAAGCCTACCACATTTTTATTGGGATGAATCTTTAAAAACAAACTTTAGCAAACTTAAAGCAAAATTTAAGCTTTACAAACACTATACTGAAAATGCAGTCCATAATTATAGATGCCTCTTTAACACTCTCATAAGTCTTCATGGCAAATCTACATTTTTTATACTTACGATACTAATGAGAAGTGAACAGCTGTTGATATGTATGTGTATATATATGCGTATATATGCGCATGCATATGTGAAGGTATGTGAAGGTGCGTGTATATATATGTATATGCATATACATATATATAGCATAAGTACCACTAAAAAGGCCTTTAATTTATGGGACATATGAAAGTAGAGTCATTAGGACTTGTACCTTGTGCTGGCGATACTTGGTGATTCTGCTCCAAGCCTACATCTTTCTAGCTGATTAGCCACAATTTGCCTTTCCACTTCCAGTTCTCTGGTAAGTCTTTGAAATTGGAGCTCCTGAAATTTCAAAATAAAAAGAAAAGCATTCTTGATGTTAAAAAATGGGTGTGGATTAATTCTGCAGCAATCAGTATCTTGTTCTGACTCCTCTTCACTGGAAAAAATTATTAGAAGATTAAAGTGGGGATTTAATGGTTCTTTAGATCAATGCTTCCTGCAAATACTAACTTATCACCTGTTAAAAATAGGAAACCAGTGTTCGAGCATCAGTGATTTTTACTTGTCCTGCAATTTAAATTTTGGTATTTCCTTCTGTTGCCATAGCCTAATAAATAAAGACTCTATAAGGTCAGTCTTCGTTTTCATCTATAAGGTCAGTCTTCGTTTTCATCTATATCAGAGGTATGCTAGAAAATACTGTATTCTCTCCTTTCCAGTTGCAAAACTTCGAATCCTAAACTACACTACGTTGTGACTTCTGTATTTAAAATTTTTAAAATTTATTGTTTCAAAATGGTAGAGGGTAGCAACATGCTCTTTCAACATTTCTGGTTTCAGATTTTGTTAAATCTCTTGGGCAAAGTTATCAACCCTTCCCCACTTTACGAATGCTGAAAATAATGCTCAAAGCAAAACACAGAAACAAGTGACTACTCAGAACGATCGATATTAAAATCTAGAAAGATCTGCTATAAACAGAATAATCTAAAAATCTGTATTATGTCACCAAGGGACGAGAGAGACCTTTTGCTTTACAGTTAGAATCCTTTTCTATCATTAACAAAAGCTAAGAGAGCAATAGTATTATTTTTCAAATTGGTGTTCCACATTCATTGAATGTTAAGTAAACTCTTTAATAGTATATAAAATTAAATAAACTATACAATTTAAGAATTGGATGAATTTTGGATCAAGTCTTACATCAAAGTAGCACAGAAGAATCTATTTAACTTTGAAGAGTAAATTAAATTACTAACAAGCTGTATTTCTTGAATATATGCCGTGCAATTGTATTCCATAGCAGTTACTTGCCTTGCTGTATTATAGAAGTCACTTTGGTCATGTATTACAGCTAGCAGACACTGTTTTCCACACCTCAAACCGAAAGGAAACGCAAACACTTTATTTTCGGCGGCCCCGCGGGCTGAGCCCACGGCAGGGCCGGCGCCGCCAGCCCAGCCCGCCTGCCGCCCCGACCGGCCTCCCAGGCCTCATCCACCCTCCCTCCTCCTCCTCTTCAGAACAGCAGGTTGCACGGGCAGATTTTTGGAGGTCACTGGATTTAATCTTCGACAAATTAAATACTCAGATATCAACAGAGTAATAGTTGGGAATCTAAAAGCTGGTAATAATTTTTTTAGACTACTACACATGAAAACACCAACACAGGCTTCAGGGAACAAGTGGAAACCAATTTTGGGCTTCTATATCAAGCAACACTTTAAGATTACCAGGATAATATACCCTAAGATAGCTTACTGCTTGTTTTGGGCTCCGGTAATCAAAAGAACCTAAAAAACAGAGAGTCATCTGGATTCTGCAAGTCCCTGCGTGACAGTTTTCCTTAAGGCACAAAGAATTTTTATTTTGAAGTATTTGCTTGCCTACGGTAAAAGCCCTTTCCTCTCCCCAGAGAACAAAGCCCAGAGCACAGGCAGGCAGGAGGGCCGCGTGGTCCCAGCCGGCTCCTGGCCTGCGGAGCTCCTCGCCTGCTTGCCCACGTAGACAGAACCATCCCTCTCACCGGCCTGGCAGACCCTGCCAAGCTTCAGGGCAGGAAACGCTCTCCAAGCCAGGCACGGAAAAGCTTTTTAGGACATACAGCCTAAATGAGCCTCTTTTAAATGGGACTCCAGGCTAAATCCTTTTAACGCTGAGACCCGACACAAAACACCTCGTGGATCATAACCTTTGGACCATGAGGTTTAGGGGTCTATGTATGGGCTAGAAAGCATGGACAGTGTGAGGAGGTTTGTACGATGTGTAACTGCATCCAACAGCAAAGATCCAATCTTTGGAATTTATGGCAAGTCCTAACAGGACGAAACTTCATGTTATATCAAGAGGTGCATCCTGCCACTACTTCTTTAAGACTGCTTATGCTTTGGAAAGAAAGTATTTAAAATGCATCCTTGGCAAAAAAATTAAATGGACAAACACATATAGTTTATTTTTCATTTACAAATCTGAATATAGATGAAATGCTCACCTAAAAATTGATTCACTAGCAAGCCATTTATATGCTAGTGGTAAACGCAATGATTTTCAAAGAAATGTTCATGTACTAAGTCTTCTTAAGTTTTGAAACAAGTGATGGCATGACAAGGCTTTCTCCAAGTAAAATATATTAGAGAGCATGTAATATATGTGATCATTTTTAAAATAAACAGTATTATGCTCCTTACTTGTAGTGACATATAAGATTACCCTCTGGTTAAGGTTCTTCCCTGTTCCTTGCTTTTAAATCAATATTTAAATAGCGACATCACTCATTGCAATGTCATTTCTACAAACTATGAACACAAACCTCAAACTGCACATTTGTTTTTCCAACTATTACTGATGCTTTTTACTAGATGAGCAAAATTAAACAGATGTTAGCCATTAGTCTCTCTTAATTTGCGTTCCATTACGGACAGAGGCATTAACAAAAATAAGACTGTTTTCTAGAATAATGTTATTGCACGGGACAAACACCCACTCGCCTGCACTTGCTCTCACCCCGCGCCACCTCCTGCAGCCTGACACAGGCCCCTGCACCGGGCCCGGGCGCTTCTGCCCAGGGGACACTGTTATCATTGGGCCACGCTCTGTTGCTCTGTGTTTTGGAAGAAACGGGGTTACCAAACCTCATGAGCACGTGGAAATGTTCTAGAAAACCTTTTTACAAAAGGCGAATCAACTAAGAGAGAACATATACCAGAGGAAAGAGGAAGCAAATGGAAAAAACAGCTAGAGCAGGAGGAATCAGACGCACAGGAGAAGGAAAAACAAAATACAGGCTTGTCAACATCTGGTCTGTTTGTGTCAGCAAGTCTTTCCTAAAATATTACAGAAGTTTAAGAGTTGCAGAAAATACTGATTTTTGTAGAGCAGAAACATGATAAAAAGCAAAAAGTGGAAGATTTGCTGTGTTTTTCTTATCCCACAGCAGACTTACTGCAAGCAATATAGGAGCAGTAGGAGAACTCCACAGAGCAAATTCAAATTTTTGTAGACAGAAAATAAAGCTCCACATTCCAAACATCACCTCAGAGTTCAGATTTGAGGATTTCAGGCAGGCAAAGAAGAAAAAAGATTACTAAGATTTAACTGAAAGCATCACAGAAGAGTCTTTTCTTTCTGTGTACTTGATTGATCTTCTAACTTCACATGGTATTTCTTGAACACGGCAGTTTGGTCTAGGCAGTAAGAGCAGAATCCCTCTCTCGGAAAATATAGGATTTGGTTATGATTGGTAGAATGTGGTCTGCACAGAATCATTCGAGACAATTTTTCCTCTTAAAAAAAGTGACATAAAAACTGCCTGGAATAGGCAGTTATACAAATATTCAAAGCAACAAATGTTCCATCAAAAAATAAAGCACATTGCAAGAATCCAAAGCTGGTGGCAGGTGCATGGATCACACTTCAGGGCTCTGCTTCTTCCTACTGACATTTTATCCTGCCTCCCTCCCATCACCCTGCTGCATCTCCACCCTTGGGCTTGATTACCCATCACTTACCCTTAACTTCAGACCACAAAGTCAGTTCCGAGGTCTCAAACTCCCTTTGCAGTAGTAGCACATTTTTCCCAGCAAGAGATGCATTGCCTGTGTTAACGCAGCTATGTCCACACTCACCATAAAAGAGAGCCCTAAAGACACCATCCCCAGGCTGCACCTTTTGTTTAAGAATCTGCCATAGAACGATGAGGAGAAATACAGGTTTGGGGGGAGCCGCGGCCGCCCCGAATCGGTCCCCGCTGCTGCAGGAAGCCGTTGCCACTGCAACGTCTGGGCACGGAGCGGCCAGGAGCAGGTTCAGAGCTGACTCGCGGCTTCCTACACGTGCGCTCCAGTACAACACAGTATTGCACAGACCCAACACTGACGTTTTGTTGAATCAGGAAATTCTGCTCCCTCAGTAACACGGGTGGAAGTGCAGTGTCTACATGCGGAGCGTTGAAAATAAACACCAGCTCCTCGCTGCCCTGTTGCGGGTGACCATCCCGACGAGGTACCGGGAGCCAAGGCCCCGAGGGAAGCGGCGGAAGGTCCAGCCGGCCGAGGCAGCGCCCTGTGACGGCCGCCCTGCCCGCCAGGACCG